AGAGAGAGAGAGAGAGAGAGAGAGAGAGAGAGAGACAGACAGAGAGAGGCAGACAGACAGAGAGACAGACAGAGAGACAGAAAGAGACAGAAAGACAGAGAGAGAGACAGAGAGACAGAGAGACAGAGAAAGAGACAGAAAGACAGAGAAAGAGAGAGATAGAGAATACTCATGCACATAAAAACCAAACATATTAAAAGGTGTATGTCAGAACATATCGTGATAGGTCACTTCCTGTAATATTTCACAGTCTTGAGCAATGAATGTTTTTTCTCTTCAGCCTTCTGTCTTTCCAAGGTCATTCATACACCAAAATGGCAAGAGGGAAAGAGCTTGTGTTCCATTCCCTGGAACACTTCTGCTTTCATTATGAATTACTTTCCTCAGTTTAATTTCTAGTTTTCTTGGCTGATTTTCTGTTTACCTATTTAGAGGCAAAATATAACCTATATCAAGTTTGTAAGATAGCTGTTGAATTTAGCTATTGAAATCTTTGCTGCATCTGAATTTGTATGTCTGTTTTCAAGTGTGTGTGTAGGTGTGCACACATGTGTATGTATGAATGCCATTTCCATGTCTGTGTTCAAGTGTATGTGTAGATGTGCATCTATGTGTATATATGAGTGCCGTCTTCTAGGTTCTGGAAAATATTCTGATGCTTGACTTCCTAGATGTAATATAATGGCCAAAACTCTTTAAGACAAATAAAAGTCCAGGACTCATGATAAAGACCTGTCAATTCAGCGACATGGGAGGTTGAGGCAGGAGGATTACAAGTTCAAGGCCTGCCTGGAATATAAAGGGGGTTTGTGACTAGTCTTGGCAACTTAACAAGATTGTCTCAAAAATAATTTGATATATTGTTCAGTGGTGGAGAGCTAGATGAGCATGTGAAAGTCCCTAGATTCAATCCTTAGTATTATAAATACACTAAATAAATAAATAAACAAATAAGTCAAAGAAACTAACAAGTGACAAGTCTCAATTCAGTTCATTGTGTAGAGAATACTATAATAATATTTTTGGAATATAATCTTGGCTGAGCAAGCTTCTGTAGAGCCCAGGACATATAAGAATCAAAGAAGCTTATTATTTGTTGACTTAATGAATGTACATGTAAATATTATCTGTGGCACCACAGTTCTGTAGCCTATTAATAGCTTTCTCCCCTTAAAGATAAAGAAATTGAAAGTTCTAAGTGGTTAAGGGAATTCTTTGAAGTTAGAATGTTAACTACTTGTTAAAGTGAAATACAAATCTAGACCAAAAGAATAAACAGAACATGCATTAGGTCAATTGTGCTAATGACTACATTAACATATAATATTTAGTTGTTGTTTATCCAAGATTACTGAAGAAAAGAAAATCCGAAAGTATGATGTTATGCATTTGGAAGAGTAAAGATTCTCCAGAAGAAAGTATTCTCATATTCATTTGGTGAGTGTTCCAATTGAAGGAGCTATGGCTTCAGTAGGCTTGTCACTTTCCCTGAGGATTGGCTTCCTGGTAGAACTTGAGCTATCATGCTAGATCTCACTGCTAGGGACTAGGACAAAGAGACTTTAGAAACTAAATCTTTGGCCAAATTGAGATAACAATCATAAGAATTTAGAGATGTCTTCAAAGAAGAATTATAAATATTCAAAAAGTATCTGAAGTACTATCATCAGTCACCAGGGAAATAATAATCAAAATTACATGAAGTATTATCTGACTCCAGTCAGAACGGCTACTATCAAAAAGCCAGAATGTAAGTGCTGGCAAAGATGTGGATAAAAAGGAATCCTTACATATTGTGGATGGGAATATCAGTCAATAGGTCCATTTTGGAAAGAAGTAGGTAGAATGAACTAGAAGTAAACTTAACATGTGATCAAGTTGTCCCACTCCTGTCTGTTCAAAGGAAATGAAGGCAGAACTCAAAAGACAAGCCTGCATGTCATTTTTGTGGTGCTGATGGAATCCCCATGGCTGCCTGTCAACAGATAAACAGATAAAGGAGCTATGGAGTATTATGCAGCCATGAGAAGAATGAGAACTTGTCATTTGAAGCAGAATGTCATGCTAAGCAAACAAGACAGACCAAAACAAAAGCAAGTGGGTGAAGAAAACACACACACACACACACACACACACACACACACACACACACACGTTCTCCTGGGGCCGCTTGCTCTGGCCAGGGAGAAGAAACCACAAGGCACCAGTTGGTCAGCATTATGATGAGTAAGTATATTGTGGGGTATGGGAGGTGGAAACAAAATGTTTTATGTCCTGTAGAGAGAGACAGATCTGAAGAGGTGAAGGTGGTGAGGAATGGGGTGAAATGAGTGGCCTGTTTCTCAACTGAAGCCATGGTAACATTTTGGCCAGAGATGCTGCCAAGGACCATGTCTAAGTCCATGGTCCTCCTATAGCCAGGATCTGTGTTGATGTTCATGGCCTCTGTTGTCACCAAAGGGCACAAGGATGCCTGAGTCCTGGGCCACTACCTGTGGCCATGTTGGGGTCCAAGAGATGAGCCACTACTGGGGCCATGCAAATCTAAGTGTCCTACGCTGCCACCCAGGGCCATGGTGACATCTGGGCCCAAGCTGCTGCTGCTGGCCATGTCTGGGTCTGTGGTCCTGATGCTTCTGGGGTCTGTATTGATGTCTGTTACCCATGTTACCACAGGGGTCCATGGAAACCATGTGCTGAACCACATATTGAACCGTGTGTTGCACTACAAAGGCCGTGCTGAGCTGTCTCTTTCTGTTCCAGGGAGGGCCAGTCCCCTGACTAGAGCAGTGATCCCATCCCTCACCAGCCCTGGAATAGTGAACCCCAATGACCCTAGCACAGGGGAATAGGAGAAATTCTCCCTCCAACTTGGGAAAGCTGTCCCCACCCCTCACCAACAGTTGTAGGAGAGCAGGCTCTGCCCCTCACCTGACTGGGGTGATACCAGCAGCCAAGACTGACCAACTCATCTATCACCCAGGCACATATGCAGGGCTTTGAGTTGGCATACCTCACCATCTTTCCCATCTACGACCTGCTAGAGTGCATGATGGTCCTGTGGAGCCTAAGACCACAGGATCTGCTTGACTCAGAGCAACAGCAGGGTATCTGAGAGGAGTTTCTGTGAGGGTCCAGTATTGATGATGTACCAGAAGTCAGAGACCTTGAACCTGATCAACAACACACTATACAATGAACACTTGCAAGTAAAGGGTATACTGCATGACACACATCAGCTCCCACTGCCACCAAGACAAATGAAGAGGCAATGAAGAAGTAGGAATGAGGAACAGAGTGGGTCTTTTTGTTTGCTTTTTTGTGTGTTTGATTTTGTATTTTTGTTTTGTTTTAAAATTAATATTCTTACTTATATATTTTTATTTTTATTATTTATTTTTAAGTTTTCCTTTGAGGGTAATGTTAGAAGGCTGGAGAGCAGCTATAGAGGAACTGGGAAATGAGTCTGATTGGGGTTAGTAATGTGACATTCCCCAAAAATTAATTTAAAAAATTAAGTTTCAAACCAAACCAAACACAACCAACCAACCAACCAAACAAACAAACAAACAAATAACAAAAAACTCAAAACAAAAACAAACAAACAAAACAAGTGTTGTATTTTCTTTTCAATCTGGAAACGTGAGATCAAAAACAGCAAGAACTAGATCTGGAAGTAGAAGAGTTGTTTCTAAGAACTGGTCAAGAAGGAGAAGGGACTAAGGCTAGAAGGCAGATGGATGCATAAATGCTGTATGTGTGTAAGAAGTATCACAGTGAATTCCACTAGTTTGTACAAGTAATATTTATGTTACTGACAAAAATAATCATGAGACTCTCTTGGCATCCCCATATCCAGTGAAAAATACGATCAGTAACTGTAGCTAATGTGGCCTGACAAGAGCGAGGCAGCCATGGGCTTATACTGCTCAGCATGGAAGGTCTGAGTCACCTTATTAGGCTAGAAAAGGTGCCGAAGGATCGTGAGGGAAATCTAATATTGGTGGTGGAAGGAGCTGATAAATGTCAAGTGCAGCTCCAGACCAGTTGCAGTAGCGAAGGCTGTCTTGTTTTATCAGGTCACATGTAGAGACTGGCTGAAGGCCACCTTGAAGCCTGAGAGGTAATTAACGGCAAGGCATAGGAGTAGCAGAGGGGTACAAAGGCTAGCCTGTGCGGGCTGCTTCTGGCTTCCTGACTCATATCCTCTTGGCTTCATCTTTGATTACAGTGTAGCTTCAGTGAGTAGTTTGGCTTATGTCATGCTGGTGTTTTTTTTCTTTCTCAAGCACCAGACGTTTTACACTTTTGCCCTCAGATGTTTCCAGTGCTATAATTGCCCTTGGGGAGACCTCTCTTTAGGGGTTTACACTCAGTTGGGACATAGACCAGGATTTTTCATTCCAAGGCAAGACTCAACAACTGTGGGGTGCAAGCTGATTCCTTTGGGAATAGATTTCAAAAGGTGTCCCACATGCACCCGGGAAGGTTCCAGACAGTTGGCCTGTTCGCACAATGATGGTGATAACAACGTGCTCTCTCGTGTACTGAAATTGTTTCAACATTCCCTCAGTCTCTTTATGCCTGCTACTTGGATATGCCCTCTTCCTGGCCAGGCCCAAACTGGAACAACAATCCTTAAACTCTGATGCCTCTGTTTTCCATTTTCTGCTCCATTTTCTGCTGATTCCCTGATATGTGTCAAGGAAAAGAGAAGAAAAGGAGGAGTATGCAGCTCGGACTGCCAACAAGTGAGTTAACAGACTTTCTGGAAGCTTTCGGGTGGCCAAATTTAAAGGGTTCCCCCACTAAATAGTTTAAGGAGCGACCAAAATAGTTTATCCTTTAGTTGCTTTCTCTCTGAAGAGTCTATTTTTATTTCTGCATTTCATATTCCCGAGGTATCTCTTTGTTCCCTTATGTCAAATATTTCTTATTTTCTATGCTTGCTTCCTTGAAGCACCTGGAACATAGTTGGAGTGAGTGTTCACATAGGTAATTTCCTTTTGAACTTTGAATAGCAAATGTTTTTGTGCCCTTCCACACACAGACAAGTCAGAAATTAGTTCCTTAAAGTGTCTGAAGGCAATCTTGTCTTGTTTCCAGTATTGTTGTAGAAAGACCACGTTATAATTCTGTGTATCCTGTATATAGGATTTTTTTTGCTCTTTGAAAAAATACAGTGTTCTTTAGCCCCAGTTTTCTGAAATTTCAAATTCTGTGCTGTGATAAAGATTTCTTGTTTAGTTCCTTACATCTATGTCAGAAATTCCCAAAAATGTCTATTAATCCTTAGAAATTTCTAATTTTTGGCTGTATTTTAAAGACGACGAAAACATCAGGAAGGCCTGCACTGACTTGTGCATTTGTCATGCTTGTTCTTTCTTTCTTTTTTTTTTCTCCAGGTCTACAGTCTCATCCTGTCATTTCTTCAGTCTAAGTAACTTCTCTTACCACACACAGGCTTGCTGGTGGTTCATTTCCCCAGTTTCCATTCATCTGGAAGATTCCATTTTCTTTTATTTCTAAATATATAGTTTCACTGGATGTGGCTCTCTGAGTGGGTCATTTCTTTTTATATTGATTTTGGTTTTTACTTTGCTACTTACACATGTCTGTTGTCTGCTATTCCCATTGTTTCAATGAGAAACAAAGTGTTACTGTCCCTGTGTTGTTGTTATTTTACATACTCATCCAACATTATTGTCATTATTATCTGGAGGAGAGGATTTTATTTCAAAGAATTTTTCCATTTCTTTTTAAGAACAATGTCTTCACCTTTTTTGAAAATCTTACACATTTATGCAATGTATTTTGATCGTTTTCACCCACCACTGCCTCCCTACAACTTCCCCAGACAACTCTCAACCTGTCTCCCTCTCAACCTTTTTCGTTATCAGTAACTGTGCTGGCCATGTGCACATGTGTATAGGGCCACCCACTGGAACATGGGCAACCTACCAGCGGCCAAATCCCTGAAGCAGAGTGACTCTTCCTCCCCCAGCAGTCATCACCTACCAATAGCTTCTCTGCCAAGGAGCCTTGGGGTTTCCTTTCCAATCCATGCTGAAATTTTGACTGACTTGATCTTGTGCAAGTAACCATGTTCATGTGTGAACAGACATGCCATGTTCCATGAGCCAAGTCAGCATTTCAAGGCTCTGCTTCCCACCCCACAGCCCTTACATTCCTTCTGTCCCCTTTTGATGTCCCTCTCTCGATGTTCTCTTAATGAAGGATGAGGGAGATTGGTACGGGTGATTTACCTGTAGCTGAGCACTCACAGTTACTAACACCTGACATATGGAGAAATACATGCAGAAAAATGCTTCTATGATAAAATCTGAGGGCAAAACAAACTTATTGGTATAAAGGTAAATATATAAAAGGCAATTTGGTAGCATGACCATTTAACAAAGTAACAACAGTAGGTTTCCACCTACAGCCTGTGAGATCCTGGTCATGGGCTTTTGACTAGTTTTATAGTATGAAATCGGTCCTCTGGAGAAGGCCTCATATTCAATCATAAAGTGATTGGTTACACACACACACACACACACACACACACACACACACACCATTATTATCATGTCACTATTTCCTTGGTGGGCATATCTTGCCATGCAGGTAAGTATTGTAGCATGCAGGGTTCAGTGATGGTTGATGCCTTTTCTCCTCCAGCAGCCTGTATGATGCATTCTATTTTGGATGTTCTTAAAGTAGACTCTAGACTTCATAGCTCTCACCTGACCTGTTGGGTAGCATTTGAAAAATGTCGATGGTTTTTCGTTGTCCATGAAAAATATTTCTTACATACCTCAAAGACTCACTTTCTCAAGACCTTTACAATTGTGATCCTTCTTTTCAGAATCCTGTTGTCCTCATCTTTTTTTCTTTAACTTTTATTTCGCTCTTAAGACAGAGTCTCATGGAGCCAAAGCTGACATCAAGGTTGCCACATAGATGACATGACACTGAATTCGGGATTCTCCCAAGTTCTGGGAATAAGTATGTGCCATCACTCTTAGCTCTGTCCTTGCCTTTACAGATGGCTTTCTCTTATATTCAAGTCCAGAATGAGAATAATATCAGGGATAGTGTTTTCCTCTTGGTTCTGGTGGTTGACTCTAGGGCTTGTACATTCTGGGAAAGTTTTTGCTCCCTGAGCTGCGTTGACAGCCAGAAGGAGATGGCTATCTGTCTGCCTCTCTTTGATGTACTAAACTGTCACAGGCCTATAGAAATAATGACCCCTGTCCTTGAATTGAAACCTTTGAAACCATTGGCTAAAATAACTTTCTTCCTTATTAATTGTCTCACATATTTTGTCACAGAGAAGAGATTAACAAAAATTTTAATGTTTATTCAAATTGTTTTATTCTAGTAATAAACCTTTTATCTTTTTCATTACTGATAATTCTAGAAACAAATTAGCCACTTTCCGTTTGTATACCAGACCTGGTCCACAGGTGGGATTTCATACTTGGTAGTGTAAACTGGTCAAAATCCCATGACTGTGGAAATCATAGGCCCTGAAAAGGAGTCTCTGTTGCTATTTTGCTAACTGGTCATGCATTCAAACTACTCCCTGAATAATATGTTGTTTTTATCAGCAGATTTGTGTTGTTCTCAGGCATCTGCACGAAGTTCACTGGTTCACCAAATATCCTTTCACAGAGGCCTACTTAGATTTTGGTTGACTTTGTAGTGCCTTTCTGTCCTCAGTTGCTCTGCCTTCTGGGAGGGCAGGGGGTAGCTCCTGACCCTTCTGATCACCAGAAACTTCCGAATTGAACTTTTTTTGAAGTCAGGCTCTCTCAGCCCACCTTATTCAGGTTCACAACATAGGCAGATGGCAGGATCATCATATTTATTGATCTTCATATGCTTTCTTATATGTTACCCGTGATCTGTATTTTGTTTCTTTTTTGTTTGTTTGTTTGTTTTGCATGCATCAAATCCCTAGAATGTAGCTGAATCTTTATAGTGGTCCTTAATAATTTAATTCTGTTGAGCAAAAAAAAAAGCCTTTAAACCATGAACTCGAGATTCATATCGCCAATAATACAGTGATAAGTAGAGCGTTGTAAGTGTGTTCTGCATTATGAAGGAATCTAAAAACTTGCAATAAGTTCAATAAAATAGTGGTTATCTTGTGGTTCCAATGTATGTATATAGAGGAGGATGGGCCACAAAGAAAATAGCAAATGGGTAGTTTTAGTGTCATAAAAATAACGAATAACTTTCTTTTCTTTTGCTTTTCTTAGGGAAATTATTTTTGAAGGATAGTTGAAATGAACACAAAGTAGAAGAAAAAATTTAGAAGGAAACCACAAGTGAGTAACAGTGATGATGACAAGGGAATGAACAAAGAGTTAGGAACTAAGAAGGCCTTGGCTTGCAGACTTTTACAAGAGCCTGGTACAAGAAGACTGGTGTGTGAAGAGCAGTGCTGGTCTTCCTTAGGGACCAGACAGGAGGCGAGAGGCTTAAGTTGCTGTGTGGGATTTAGATAACAGAAAAGGAAAAATTTTCAGACAGTGAGGTTTGATAGACACTGGGATGTGTAACTGGGGAAGCTTGTGGAATTTCCTTCTCTCAACATCTTTTTAAAAACCGACAGCATCTCATCTGCTTAAAGGATGGACTCTATTTGACCTCTAAAGTGTCTACTGAACCCAGAGGGTGAACCTCATCTCCCAAAGGAAAAGAGAGCTTGTGTGATCCCGAGGAGCTTGAATGATGAAAATATCATGAACATTTTTCATGCTTAATTTGATTTCCACATGGTATATACATAAATCATAACTGCTATAGCGAGTCTTTTGGTCTAATGTTTTTGTTGTAAGGTCTGGAGATTAGAGTTTAAGTAAAAGTCTTCTAGGGAGAGAAGGCAGAACTCTTTTATCTGACTTTTTGAGCTTATTTGTAGGAGAGCATAATAAGCAAGGTGAAAAGGTTATTTCTGACTTTGATTTCACTTCCCATGCTAAATTTAAAAATTACCATCTTTTTTGTTGGCTTTGGTATTTTAAAGGCAAATTGAGAGATTAATTTAGTGCAAGCGTTTCTCACAGTATTTTTGGCCAGACCAGAATTCCAAGTTGGACCAGGTTCTCTGTACTTAATTTCCTCTCAGGAAGTTTACCTCCAAAAGTCCTAATGTAAGGTCAAACTTTGGGCTGCCGGAAGTGTTAATGTCCTTTACTGTCTAGGCATCCAGGCGACCTTCAATGAGATATTCTACTTTGTGGACACTGGTAAGGGTTCAAATGCTTTCAAATGACTTAGCTGCTTCCTTTGTTTGTTTGTTTTCTTTAATGAGCTGTGATCTCTGTACTCAGCCATCCAAAACTCAGAAATTAAAATTTCCATAAGTAAGAGGTGTTCTATTTTCTCTGGATTCAGTTATGAGTTTAGATATCTAATTACAGGTGATGTAGACTTGTCTTTCTTCCGAAGTACCAAAGTGCACTTCGTGACAAAAAGGACGTTAGTGTCAGAAATTATTGTCTACTTTAAGCAAACAGTTCTAGAGTACCCTAAACAGGATCTCTCTCAGATTCTAAGTAACCGGAGGACATTTAAAGGTTAAAGCACATTGTCACATAACTGTTCACAACAGTCTAAGTGCTTATGATTCCAATAAAAATATTGTAAATGTTATGGACTTGTAGATGAGAAATGGAATTTTTTAAGAGGTTGTGATTTACTTAAGGTCTCAAGACTAGAAACTGTAAAATACCTGGGACACGTAGGCCCTTCTCACCTATCTATGTTCTATTCCTTTTTGATATGACTTTGCTTAAAATTTAATTGCAGCTAGCTTCAAATGGTATAGTGTAATTCATTAGAAGAACTCTTGGAATACTTTTGATTTCAGAGCCTGGATCTTTCCCTCTGTATAATGCTGTGATCTTTGTAAGATCTGTTATGTTTTTCATCATTGATGAGATCTTTGCCTTAGATGTCAAAGTCAAATTAGATACAAGGGACTGAAGTCACTATCACTAAATAGAAAGTTATGCTGAATGTTGCTCAGTCACACAAAGTAAAAACACCAGAAGGTTCCACCAGCGTATTCTGATATTTCACATGGTAAGTCATACACATCTCTCATAGTGTACTCCCAGTGAGATGATGGGACATTCTAATCCTTTCTAGCTACTAAGGATTAAACAGCATTAAACAGTACAAAACACATCTTAATATTGCATTCATTTCTGACAAAATGTTGAATGCATCTTCTATAATTCCTGGCACATGGTTGTGGGAGTCATGGTTGTGGGGGTACGGTGGCTTTATTTCCTTCCCTAACAGTTCGGAAGTTTGTTTAATACTGACTCAGAGGAAGCGTTCTAGCTGAGTCCTCACATGGCCCTGTTTACAGCTCCGGAGTGTACATAATAGATAAAGAACTGACTTCCACATACCCTTGCACTTCCTGGGTGTGTGGGCGAGTGTGCTTGAGCCTGTGAAATGAGGTTGTGCAATCTCCTGCTTGGGGCATCAGGTTGCAGTCACCCCACATCTCTTAAATATTCCTCTGAGGGAGCTTGTTTCACAAACTGAACACCAGTGTATTTAAGAGAAGCTCTAGTAATGAATAATTAACATGGTCAAAACTGAGGTGGAGATTGTAAAAAAAACAGTGGGAAACAGCTGTAAATGACACAGATAAACACTTTTCTTTCGGCAGGATCTCACTGTTTTGATTGTAACTGTAGCTGACATTTATACATAGCCAGTCTGGGGTAAGAACTTTTGTTACACCAGCATCACTGTCCTTAACTCTTGTAGCCTTTATGGGTAAATATAGCCATTGCACGTTTAGACTGGAGATCAGAGAATTAAAAAAAAATGTGTTCTGAATTACACTGATAGTCTGAAAGTAGCTGATGGAGTAACGAGAAGAACCAAGAACTGTTTGTCTTTTAAAGATAAATGAGACCCTTCCTACCTATCTGTGTTTTATTTCTCTTTTGATATGACTTTGCTCAAAACTTAAGTGCAGTTGGTTTCAAGAGGAACAGTGTATTTCAATTAGAAGGACTCCCTGGATTTATGAAGGTTCAGACTAAGGTATTTGGAGGATGGTGGGCTGAAAGTTTCAGGGAAGAAATACTACACATACACCAGTCTCTCAGGCCTGAAGAAAGGAAATGTATACCTGTTTGTCTATGAAATATCTCTTGAACATGGTACTGGAGTGATAACATCCATCCCACACAAATATCCAGTAGTAAACATTCAGAAACAGATTCTCTTTTTAACCAATGCTTTGCATCAAAGTTAGGCATGTTCATTAAATTAAAGAATTGTTTATAAAGCTTACTTTTAAAGGCATATCACCCTTCTCCTTTGTTTCCTGAATTATGAGGCTTGCTGAATCATCTGCAGAAGAGAGCTTTGTTTTTGAAAATGAAGAAATGTGGGGTATAGATTGTGGTATATAGATTGCTGGCATCGAAAGAAACCTGAATAAATATTCAAGACTGACCACAAGGTCCCAGGCGTGGGTGTATTTATCCGTTTGCCTCATGACTGGGAGGTTTTGGTCTGGAGATGTAGGGAGGGTGAGGAAGTGGAGGAACAGTTTTGAATTTTTGAATGAATTTCCAGTTGATATAGTCTAAGATCTTTACACTGTAGCCATAATTTTCTACAGAGGAAATTGAGGAAGATCGTGTTAGTGGTCACTAACTCTTAAAAATTCAAAATAGGGGGCGTAGTGAGATGGGCTAGTGGTCAAAGCATTGCCAAACAAGCTGGCAACTTGAATTTGATTCTTAAAACTGACACTGTAATTGTTCTCTGAACTCCACATATGTGACGTGGTATGTATGCCACCCCCAATATGTGTGCACATACACAAATTCTGCCTCCAGCCTTCTGCCTTGCTTGAGTTTCTGCCCTGGCTTTCCTCAGTGATGAGCTGTGATGGGGACCTTAGGCCAAATAAACCTTTCCTTTCCTAAGTCGCTTTTGGTCATGGTCTTTTTCACAGCAACAGAAAGCTAATTAGGACAAAGCCTTTAGCACAGTTTTTTTTTTTTTCCTGAGACTGCATAGGACTAGGGGAAGGACTTATAAATTCTGTAACTAGACTCTTTTAAAATCCAAGAGCTGCCACAGTCAGGTTTTGTGATGGACACAAGCTAACTTCTCTGTGCCTCAGTTTCTCTATATGAAAAATGAGAATGATGCTATGTATGGGGAGTGAAATCAAACATCATAGCAAACATCCTAGGCCAACCACATGCTTTTTATGTTAGTTTATACAAACAGTAGGAAGCAGCAATGATTCCATGGGGATTGTGAAAACCCTCAGCCCCTCGTGTTGAAGCATGTTGTGTAAGGGTGTTTTCTTCTTATGTGTTTTTGGTTCCTCTGGTTTTGAACTGAACTTTGCAAGGAATCTGGGAAAGAAGACCACACTATACAATGACATTAGGGAGCCTAGCTTTAAACTTCAGTTATGTTCATTGTAGCTCTTTGACCTCTCTCTGCTTGTGCTCCATGCTTCTCAATATGGTAACACTGACTTCCTAGGGCTATATGGTTTAAATGAGAAAATTGATGGGCAAATGCCCAGTTATGTTTAACATATGGCAAGTACTTAATACCAATTTTAGAAATTAGGAAAAAAACATCCGTAGCATGCTTAATTTTTAACACTTCACTGTAGGAGGAAAAAAAGAGGTCTAGGCTTATTTACTTAGAGTATAGTCAGTCTTAGGCAGTGGTTTTACGTGGTGATTTTAGGAAGAACACACATATTGGGTAAAAGGTCAGAGCCTACGTCAGGTTTGAAAACTTACCAAAACCCACAAATCCCTGGGCACAAAACCCACCAATCACTGGGCTTGGCTTGAAATTTCACTGACCCCTGCACTAGAAATCTCCATCCTGGAAAACTTCTCCCCTAAGGAACCCTATATAAGCCTGTCTCCTGCTCAGTTCCTGCTGCCTCCCACCTGAGCAGAGACAACCACCCTCTTGTGTCTTTCCCAATAAATCTCTTGTATGAGGTTTATTGTGCTGTGTGACTTTGTGGTATTCCATGACTCCCATTTGCCAGGATACCTTTCCCTTCAGAGCTGTAACACTTGAATTGGCAAAACCTTCCCACTCAGAGCTGCAGTACCTCCATTGAGGAAGCCTTTCCCCTCAGAACTGCAACATTGACAACTCATGATGGTGTTTTGTTTATAGATGGTCCAGTCTTATACATGTGATGTAAATATAGTTTGATAATGAGAGTACATTGAATGGATTAAAGTTAAGTGTAGAATGATATGTAGACTTAGTTTTCCTTTGATAGTTCCCACCTAAATAGTGGACTTGGAACAATGAGAAAACACCATTACTAAAAGCTACACAAGCCATAGTAGGTTGAGAGTTTATTTGTGGGTGTTATGTTCTAGCAGGTGTTGTCATGGGCCACTCCTTTCACCCAAGAAAAATATAAATGTGAACCTCAGTGTAAAGCAGAGCTTCACAATCTCAACCTGAGCTTTCCACTCTCCAACAGCACCTTCAGTTGCCCACTTAAAGGTTAGATCTACCTACCAAGTAGATTCACAGAAGGTATGCCTCTAGCAATGTCCATCCTTCCATGTTGACATAAAGGATGAGGCACTGGTGATGAGGTCACAAATGTTTGGGAAGCCAGCAAACATCAGGGCTTGGGCAGGCAGGAGAGCAGAGAAGCCAGTGACAGTGGCAAAATTAAAGACAGATGACTATCAGAACAAAATACTGCACCGTGGGTTGTCAGAAATTGCTGAAATAGTGAGTTCAAGGGGCAGAACTTCATCTGAGCTGCCTCCTTAGGCCTTGGTGTGTTTTAGCCCTCTTTGCTCTTCCACTGTGAGCTCCTTCCATCTTTTTGAAGACATGCCCGGCTCCTTAAGATTTGTTGAAATGAACAGAGAACAATGTGTTCAGATCTTACCTGTAAGAGAGCTTTTAGGAATGACTGGGGGAACCACACCTACCCCATTGTCTTAGGACTATGATGAGAATTTTGTCTCTTTGACTCACAAGGTCTCATCATACAGATGACTTCAAGTTGGCCTCTACTCTCCACATTCATGCAATGGCAGGCCCGTGCTCTTTCTGTAAACAATAAACACATAGAAAAGGAAATAGGTGAGACAATTAGAGTTGATACAGATTCTGTCATGTGGTATTTCAGTAGGAAATTGTTTTACTCTTTGCAAAATAATGAAGATCCTTTGCCACCACAAGCCATGCCCCAGAATGGATTTCAGATGGTTCCAAAGTAAGAAAGGTAGTTTTTAATGAAGTTGCAACAGCACGCACCCCCAGCTCCTCTTAAGAGAGAGTAAACCTTGTTCTCTGCTTTGTCTGAGGCCTTGAAGTTGTGGCAATTGTTTTGCCTCCGACTCAAGTGCTGGAGTTATGGGTCTTTTATACATCGGACTTCCTAAGCATAAACATAATAACAAAATAGTAGTCACAACAAAAATATTCAGTATAAGAATAAAATAAAAGCCAAATAACAAACAAGAAGTGTTTGGTATCAGATAAAGGAAGGCTGCTAGTTTAGTATACTGTTGATTCCCTTGAGAAGGAAACACTCCATCTTACAGGAAGCTCCTTAAGCATGAAGGTAAGCCACTCAGAATAGCTTCAGGAAGTCCCAGAAATTGACAAGATTTACTGGGCCTCTCCCTCCCTGAGTAAGTGATAAAAACTGAGAGCCTCTCTCAGAGAAAAAGCCAAGCTGAGAAGATGATTCTCAATCATAGCTGCAAAGTAGACTGAGACCAGATCAGCTACCTGGAAGAGGCAGACACCACCCAATCTGCCTGGAAGAGGTTTAGGCTAACTGAGGCACCTGGAAATGACACTCTCCAACCTGTTGAGTTGCCTGAGGCTGTGCAGTGTGCTCCAGGTTCCTAGCTTTGTGAGCCACCACATGTGCTGAGGTGGGCTTCAGTGGGTTTCAGTGATGCAGCTGTCTTTGAGTCATTTCTGCTCCTGTAAGTAACTCCTCACCCACATTCTTGTAAGTTACCCCAATAAAACTCATTGATATTCCTATAATTCAAAGACCAAAACACTGGGAACTAATAAGTGGATTAAGATTCCAGCTGAATAGTTCAAGCAAGAAAAGATTATAAATACAAATGCCAAACTATCAGAAAATTTTCAAATAATTTGATAAAGAAAATATTAATTAAACATGAAATAGTATGTTTTAACAAAATGAGAGTTTCTAAACACATTCAGTTTTGGTGATGGTGTGGCAAACTGGATAGATAGGTACTACAGGAACTATCCATTGGTGCCAGACATATAGGTATGCACTACTATGCCCAGCTAAGAATATATTTTCATATATCATTTTCACATTAGAGCCCAAGAAAGATCTGCAGAATACACTGTTTTGCTCATTGTCCTGTTCTGTGTTTGATAAATACATAGGGAGCTTTGTCTTTGTATGCACCACATTCTACAGCCAGCTGAAACTTGCTTCATAATGTCATGAGATTCCTCCTACTTACTTCTTGTATAATAGCACTTAAAATGAGAAGTTTGTGGAGGCTTGGGGGAAGGGAAGGGAGAGGGAGAAGGGATTGACATGTGAAGTAAGGTTGTTCCTAATTTGAACTAATAAAAAAAGGAAGAAATTGGATACATAGCATGCCTGTGTGTGGGCACACACTCGCACATACACAAAACAAAAAAAAATGAGAAGTTTGCCTAGAGTCAGGTTGATTTTGTTTTATTTGCTTTTGGCAAGATCCTATGTTTGAGGTATGTGTTCTTCCTGTCGCAACACACCAGAATGGTGTTGTTTCTAGTTGACCCAGTTTTAATGTAGCTAAAGTGGTTAATAGCACGTGAGGACTCCTTCATGATCAGATTTCTCATTGACATTTTGCATGATGCTTAATATATTTGCTAGTGGGACTGGAGACCTGGCTCAGTGGTTAAGAGAACCTACTGTTTTTGCAGAGGACTAGGGTTCAGTTCCTAGCACCCACATGGCAGCTCAAAACCACCAGCTCCAGATGATCTGATGCCCTTTTCTGACATTTTCCAGCTCATGGACACATGTGGTGAACATACATACATTCAGTCTCATGCACATAAAACAAAATTAAAGATGTATTCATTAGTGATCATTGTCTTGACCTGACATTCTAGTAGAATTTATTAAATAGTAGTTTTCTAATTTATCTATCCTGTACCAATTAACTGGTCATTTTCTACAAGACTTAAAAAAAGAAAAATTATCTTTTCTAATAATCTAATTACTGTAAAATGGTGCATTCTGGAAAGGTAGCTACACATCACCCTTGATTCTGTGTTTTTGGTTTTTGTGATAAGTAGTGGGTCCTCCTTCATCCTTGATTTATAATAGTGAAAGCTGGTTAGCAACATTGATATCCAACAATAGAAGGTACATTTTGACAAGTCTGTGATACAGATGCAAACTGTAAATATTGTGCAGCCTCTAGACTTCAAAGAATAGTTAATAAAAATAATAATGAAAACAATCAAGTAGTAGTATAAAATGTATACATACTGTGATCTGAAAATTAAAATACAAGCATTGTTAAATATTCTCTCAGCTATAGATATGGGCATAATTATCATAACACAGTGAAGCAGAGTAGATTTTTATTTTTCTATAGGTCACTGTATTATAGATAGTAGTTATAAGTAAAAGGAAATATATATTTGCTTAAAAGACAGGTCTCTGGACAAGTTATACTTGAAGGATTCATGGGTGTTGATCTGGGTGCTAACTTTGACCTGTTTTGTAACATTGGATCTTCTCCCAGTGTTTTTTTTTTTTTTAAATTAAGAATAGAAACTTTATGCCTTTTAAAAACTAAATTATTTTTGTTTCTTTTAAGTCATATATATATGTATATATATACACATGTGTGTGTGTGTGTGTGTGTGTGTGTGTGTGTGTGTGTGTGTACCTCTGTGTGTGTATGTATGTATAGTCTAGGAGAGGGCATCGGACCATGGAAACTGCACTTAACAGATAGTTGTGAGCTGCCATATGCAGTGCTTTTAATACTGAGTCATCTTTCCAGCTCCTTTTCCTGGAGTTCTTGAATGGGACTTTAATTAGGTCAAGATTTCTTATTACTATAATAAGTGACTAGGATTATGTGAAGTTTGTCTTTCTTCTCATTTGCTCAGGATTGTGTGTGTACTCATGTGGTCCCGAGCTACAGCAGTGCAGCCATCCTGATGGACTTGGGGTGGTTGCAATTTCTCAGACCCCTGTTTTCTTATCTTTCAACTGGTTTTGCTTCTGTACTTTGACATTTTACTGGTATAGCTCTGCAGGTAAGTATTGCTTGGGAAAGAGTAACAACATGATGGTCTGAACTTTTGAAATTAGGCTGACCATGGAGAGATTTTTGGATGGAATTAGGATAATAGCCAAATATTTAAGGAATATAGAGCTTTCTCCAAGAAATACTTTCCATTCAAACAGAAGGGAAAGACAGCTTCCTTGTATTTGTACTGTGCATGTACTGTGTCCCTGGAGCAGTAGCCTAGGAGGTTATTTTCAATGTCTCTATGTTGTAGTCTGGAGGAAACCTGCTTTTTCAGTAATGGCCCTCAGCTGACTGGGTGAGGTCTGCTGAAATTCTGAAGGGTACTCTGTTTTACTCAAAGTTTATTGACTAAATTAATTATACATAAAACAGTTTCATGACAATGTTTTAACTGGTGTCTGACCAAATGCTTGGCACTACAGTACAGTCAAGTAGACACATAAAATTAACATTATAGAGGATAAAGTATTTATGAGCTTACCATTAGGTCACAGGTGATTTTTGTTAGCCTACAAAATTCAGGTGGCTGTTTTTGCTTTAGGGAGACAATCAATAAAAAGGTCTCCTATCCTTATCTGCTTCAGACTTGGAAAACGAGACCTAGGGCATTTTATAACTCCATGGAAGTCCACCTTGATAAAGTGTCCTTCTTAGAACACCTTTCCTCTGAACCATCATTACACAGGGCCTAAGTGACAGCTTTGTGATAAGAGCTAATGCCTCTTTAACTTCCCTATTTACACTACAGACAAACCTACTTAATTGATGTCTTGTTTATTCACTAAAATTTGCCACTTAAAAAAAAAAAAGAATGCCTCCATTTCTAGTGAGTGTATTTTCTTCTCAGGAGACATTTATCCAATTCTTTTGGCCTGTTTAAAGCCTAAAAAAAATGATGTTGTGGTGGAAGGTGGTTAACAATGAAGAAAAGGGGGGATTGCTTTTCTATTTTTTCGTTGTGACCCTATCCTTTAGCGACTGAGCCATCTCTCCAGCCCTCTTTTCTATTTTTTACTTAAAAAAAATCTCTGCACTTTTTTTGTGAAACAGTGATAAACATCAACAGAAACACACATGCTGCCCTAGGGTCCTTAATGTCATGTCAGAGTGACAAATAGGGAATCCAGTTTTTTAAGAAAAAGGGCTCATTGCTTAATACCAGGAACATTAAAGGACTCCTTATGATGATTTGAGATAAAAATAATCATAAAAATTCTAATAATCTTTCTTGTATTATCTATCATTGAAACTCTTTAAAACTCATTTGGATTGAGTTTCATCAAAACATACATCAGCATATACATGTTTTTTTTTTGTGTGTGTGTGTGACATCAGACTCATAAAAGTCTGGTAGGAGTTGAAATTCAATGCAATCTAGCAACAACATACCAATAAATATACATATATGTATATTTTTCTTTTCTCTTTTATTATTTGATCACTTTATATATGTTGACCTAATTTAAATGTATTAATTTTTTCCTAAATGGTATGGTGAATATTAAGTGTAAGTAAAGTGAAATTTTATTACATAGTACATCATGTTATATGGGAAGGCCAGTTCTGGTACCCTCTCCACTATTGCTAGGAGTCTTAGCTGGGGTCATCCTTGTGGATTCTTGGGAATTTCCTTAGCATCAGGTTTCTTCCTAACCCCATAATTTCTCTCTCTATTAAGGTATCTCTTTCCTTGCTGTCCCTCTCCATCCCTGCCCCCCTCAACCATTCCATTCCCTCATATTCCCATCCTCATCCCCTACCCTTTACCAACTTCC